GCAAAATATCCAAGGAAATCCAACAGAGAAAATATCAGAACACTCAACTTTTTCTCAGCATTATGAAGAGACAGCCACAAACTGTCCTCGAGCAAGTGTCACACACTGCTTGAGGCACGAGATGGTCTTAAATAAACACCACGGCCTGACTCCGAGATGACCGAATCCCCCCAGACATTGCTGGAGCCACCAAAATGTAGGAATTGTTATTGATTGTTGCTGTTGATGAAGATGATGATATGGCTGTGGAAGAAAACAGCCTACAATAGCAAAGTTTAAAATGTGTGTTTTTCTTTAAGGTACATTTATGCAATCTTTGAGGTAAAGGAGAATAGAAATAGGACCACATGGAAAAGTTGATGAGTAAAGGACCACTCTTCAGAGTGGCCTAGACTGGCCCAGTTATTGTTTCAATGATTACCATGATTATTAACCATTTATTGAATGACAGCTATTAAGATTGTTTTAATCCAACACTTGGCCAAAATGTGCTGATTAATTTCATCCTTAAAATTGTCCTTTTAACTTTTTTTTCTTTGAGTTTAGATATTTACCAAACGATATAAGACTTGGGGAACTTCTGAAGGGATCAAATCAAATCAGTTAAAAAAAAAAAAAAAAAGCTTACATGACTAACCATATGGCTGTGTGTCTTCATTCGTCAAATATTATTGAGCTGCTACTCTGTGCCCGGCACTGCTGTAGTGCTGGGGATACAGCCGTGGACGATGTCCTGGTGCTCATGCTCTAGTGAGGAAAATAGGTGTACTCGTTTTTTATACACTGCTGCAACAATGTATCACAAACTGGATGGTTTAAAACAACAGAAATTTACTCTCTCACAGTTCTGGAGGCCAGAAATCCAAACTCCAGGTCTCAGCAGGCAGCTCTCCCTCTGGGCGATCAAGGCGAGAATCCGTTCTTCGCCTCTTCCAGCTTTTGGTAGCTGTCCGCATTCCTTGCCTCGTGGACACAACACTCCAACCTGTCCCTTGGTCACATTGCCGCTTCCTCTTCTGCCTATGTTGTCTCCCTTTGCCTCCTTCTTATAAGGACACTTGTGATGGCATTTAGGGTCCACTCGGGTAATCCCAAATAATCTCATCTCAATATCCCTAATATAATCACATCTGTTACCAGCTAAGGTCATATTCATTTTTTTGCCATATGTGGGAATATTCACAAGTTCCATTGATTTGGATGTGGACATACCCTTTGGGGGCCACCCATCAACCCACTACAACAGTCAATAAACACAGAAATAAATTCAGGAGTTATGAAGAAAACAAAGCAGGGAGAAGGGAGAAGAGAGTGACAAGGAATGCTACTTTTGATAAAGAGGTTAGAGAAGGCCTCTTTAATGAGGTGGCATTGGAGCAGAGACCTACTTGAAGCAGATGAGAGAAAAGTCTTTCAGGCAGAGGGAAGAGCAAGTGCAAAGGCCCTGAGACTGGTTGTGTTTGAAGAGATGAGAGCGTGAAAGGGACCAGTGTTGTTAGAATAGAAGGGTCAAAGACAGAATTTGGATTTTATTCTGAGTAAAAAGGGAAGCACTGGTGAGTTTAGAGTAGAGGAGTAATTGGTCTGACTTCTACTACTGAGGCTGATGTGTGGAGAATGGATAATGGGGAGAGGGCAGTGAAGCAGTGTGACCATTTAGGAACGTACTGCCATATTCCAGGTAGGAGATAATAGTGGCCAGGACTAGGGTAGTGGCGAGAAGTCATCCAATTTGAGATATATTTTGAAGGTTGAGCCAATAGGATTTGCTGATTGAGTAGCTATAAGTAAGAGTAATAGAGAAGTCAAGGATGACTTCCCTTTTTTTGCCTATGTGACTGGAAGGATATGAGCCACTGCCAAATGTGATTTAGAAGATGGGAAAGAAGCAGGTTTGTGGATAAAGAATTTCATTTTGGAATTTGAAATGCCTTTTAGACTTTCAGGTGGAGATATTCTGTAGTCACTTGGCTACAGGAGTCTGGAGTTCAAGGTGAAAGACTTATATCTGGGTGACATTAGTGAATAGCTGGTATTTAAAATCACCATGGAGTAAGTGTAGATAGAGAAGGGGACCAAGACTGAGCCTGAAGCATTCCAAAATTAAGAAGTCAGAGAGATGTGGATGAACCAGGAAAAATGTCTGTGAAGTGAGTTAGTGAAGAAGTAAAACCTTGAAAGTCTGCTGACCTGGAAACCAAAATAAGAAAATGATTCAAGGAGGGAGCAATCGACTCTGTCAAAAGCTGCCGATAGATCAAGTAAGACGAGGACTGAGAATTTACCACTGAATTTATCAGTGGGGCAGTCATTAGCGCATCTTGACAAGAGCAATGTTGGTGGAGTTAGGGGTACAAAATCTGTCTGGAGGGAGTCCAAAAGGGAATAGGAAAAAAGGAACTGTAGACAATAATTCGGACAATTTCAATGAGTTTCGCTCTTAAACGGAGGAGAGAAATAGAGTTGTAGCTGGAGGAAATGTTTTTTAAGGATTTGGGGATACTATAACATAATATCATGCTGATAGAAATGATCCTATTGAGAGGCAAAAATTGATCATGCAGGCAAGCGGATAAATGCAAGATGGAAGTCCCCAAAGAAGCTAGATTGGATGGGGACCAGTGCCTGAGTGGCCAACTAGCCTCGAGTAGGAGCAGGGCAGGTCCTCCTTCAAACAAAAAGAAACAGATATAAGGTAGCTATGCTAGTGTGAAGATGAACATGCACTTCTGAGGGCTTTTATTCTCCCTGAGCAATCTGAAGCAAGGTCATCAGCCGAGAATGAGGAAGGTGGAGAAGAATCAAGTTCAAGAAGATGTGGAACAAGCCCCTCAAAGAGTGAAGTGTCCAGCATAACATTTAATTGTCTAATAAATTTTCTAGGGGGCTGGCCCGGTGGTGTAGCGGTTAAGTGCGCCCCTTCCGCTTCGGTGGCCCGGGGTTCACAGGTTCGGATCCCGGGCCCGTACTGATGCACCGCTTGTCAAGCCATGCTGTGGCGGCATCCCATATAAAGCAGAGGAAGATGGGCACAGATGTTAGCCAGGGACAATCTTGCTTGGCAAAAAAAAAAAAAAAAAAAGAGGAGGATTGGCATCGAATGTTAGCTCAAGACTGATCTTCCTCACACACACACACACACAAAATTTCTAGGACAGCACTATCCCATAGAAATATAATGCAAGTCACATATGAAATATCAAATTTTCTAGCAGCCACCTTAACAAGGTAAAAAGTAACAGGTAAAATTAATTTTAATAATGTATTTTATTTAACCCAACATATTCAAAATAATTATTTCAACATGTAATCAGTGTAAAAAATTACTGAGATATTTTACATTTTGTTTTTAGTACTAAGTTTTCAAAAGCCAGTGTGCATTTTACATTTTCAGCACATCTCAATTCAGAGTAGCCACATTTCAAGTACTGAACAGCCACAGGTGGCCAGTGGCTACCACAGCAGACAACGCAGGTCTAGGAAATGAAGTAGCACTAATGGAGAACGCGAGGGCCCCTTGAAATTGGGAGCCATGAATTGAAGTGAGATTGGCACGGCTGTGTGTTTTTCCCAAGCCACATGCAGAACTCATGTGCAGATGTGGAGCAGGCAGAGAGTTGGTTTTGACCAGAAATGAAGTTTTGCCAGCAGCATTCAACCAAAGGAAAAAGGAGAAGGGAACCAGTGGCACGCACAACCAAACGGTTATAGAGATTGACCACAGAATGTAAGCCACAGAAGTAAGAATCCAAGGGGTGAAAAAGTGATAGGGGCCATGGAAGTTCTAGTAGGACCAAAGAACTTTTAGAACTGTGGCTGCTATGCAATATAGAAAGATGTCTAGAATAATCCCTGCCCTCAGCCATCTGATCTTGATGGCAGGTATACCAATAGCCATGTTATAAGATGGTATGTGATAAATGCCAGTGCAGTCACACAACATGTGTTTTATTGAAGTTCAGAGGAGGAAGAGCCCGTGTCCTACTAGGATGATCTGGGACAGTTCATGGACGGGGTGGTGGGTCAATCAAGCCTTCAAGGATGAATAGGGTTTTAATTGGTCTATGGGAAAAACATTGCAAAGTGAGGAAAAAGCATAAGCATAGAGAGAAAAGCAAAAATGTTCAATACTTCTTACAGGTCAGAGTGAAAAACACTTTAATAGCAATATTTATTGAGAGCTATTGATTACAATGGGGAAGGCAGCCTATAAATAATGATAGGTCTTTCGAGAAGAGTGCTGGGATAATTTCCCTGGGGAAAGAAAGACTTCACTATAAAATACAGTTATACCCTCAGAATACAATGTTTCCTAGGAGTGACCCAAAGATTGTGCCAAAGATTGTTCCCAAGAAATGAATGCTCTTCCTTTCCAGCCCACCCCGTCCTTGCACACACACACATGCATACATACAAACACATGCCCTTCATCTTTCATTTATAATTCAGTCTCATAAATTTAATTCTTGTCTAGGGAAACGGCCAGCTACATCTAAAGAGAAGCAATATATTTACCTTTAATTCTCAGATTCTATAAGAAAATATTTGGAACCAACTAGGATTAGAGTATGTGGGATTAAAAATGCTTTGATTAATATTAACACTTTATTTTTTAATGGTATAGACTCTCACCACATAGACCCAGTTTATAATTCCTTTAGAAAACAAGCTGCATGTATACATTGTACTCGTTTTTTTCTAAATCTGAGGCTGTTTCTATTAAAATTCTAAGGAAAAAGCAGCATTTCAATTAACTTTGGTTCTCAACATAGTTATCATTAAACAATAGGAAATTTAGTTTTTCCTAAGCGTACGCAGATCGTTGTTACAAAAAAAGTCACCCTATCTTTGCCTAGCTCTAAATGTTTAGGGAAACCTGCCAGTATATCCATTCCTTCCTTTTTTTCACAAGAATTTCCTACTTCAATGGGAAGATTTAGAAACAGTAAGAAGAACTAGATGTTTCCACGTGACTTTAATAATACTGTCCTTGTATTTACATATCATATGTCCTTGGTACTTCAGAGCTCATTATCATTTTAAATTTACAAATCAGTATATGAAAGCACAAGATTTAGCAGCAGCTCTTCTTCTGCCCATCAGTAAGTTATTAATGCCAGAACTGGAACTCATAATTACTGACACATGTGGTCCCACAACCTCTAAAGATCATTCTCATAACATAAAACGAACCACTCAGTAAGTAAAACATATCAATTATCAAATATCCCATTTATTCAAGATAATTTTAAGAAACATGGAGCTTTAATCATATATGCCCATATTAAACCTCATAGGCCTACAGTAATATGAATATAGATTAAGGTATCATTTGATTAAAATTAATACTTAATACAAATTAATAAATATATATACATATATAATCCAACAATTCCACAACGTGGAATATATTTCAATCAAAAAGTCAACAAATATGTCAACATATTTACAAATGTGAACTATTGCTTTAAAAAATTTTCCCCAACATGTTATAATTCTGAAGAGTACAGATGTCACTGGTCAGACTGCTATATATGCTATCAAGCCTGTCCTTACTGGGAATAAAAACATCCACTGTCTGCTGATTCAGTTAGGAAGGAAAGGTACCCGGTTCGCTGAGCAGTGCCAGCTGTGGTTTTAATTCCGGTGTCTTGAACACTCATATGTCTGGGAGATTCTGTAAGATCTGTCTCAAGGAAGCACAGGCTACCACGTGGGCATCCGAAGGAAGATTAGCAAGTGACTGAATTAGCTTCTTGACTATTGTCTTCAAACACTGGTGGGCAGCATTCAAATCTCTGTCAAACTGCTGTCCTTCAATCTGTAGAGCCAGATGACTGCAGATGTTTCTAAACTCAACACTATCCTGAAATGAACAGCAAGCACAAACAAGCAATTAGATAGGTTATGGGGACATTTGTGTTGTGCTTACCCAGCTTCCACTCCCAGCTTTTCTCCCAGGATCTTCCTCTCAGACAACTACTCTCCTCCATTCTCAACCTATGTGGTTTGACCAAAGCTGACCCCACTCCACAACTCCAGGGACCAGCCCAATCAGAGCGTATCACTCCTCGGTCACTTGGACTGGTCAGGGATGGACAGGTAACCTAAGGCAGGCCAATAAGCCACAGTCCCAGAATGTCTGTTTGACTGAGAAAGAGAAGTGCTCTTTAACTGGGGCTATTAGAAAACATCTTGCCACCATAAGGGAAGAATTCAAATGAGAATGAAGCCAACACAGAAAACAAGTAGAGCCAAGAGATTAAAAGAGACTGATTCTAATTACATTTTCTGAGCATGTCAATCCAGCTGTACTTGACCAATAAACCCCAGAATTTAGGGACTATCTGAGTCAATAAAAATCCCTTTTTACTTAAGCCATTTGGAGTTCAGTTTCTGTTATTTGTTCCTAAAAGAGCTTTGATGAAAACACAAACAGCCTATGTCCCTATTAGTCCATACTTGTCTTCAAGATTCCAATACAGGATTTGGTATTTAATGAACATGGTCTCAAGAAATTTCCAATGCAAATTTAGAAAGAATTAATTCTCAGGTAGTTTAAAAGAACAAAGTAATTAAATAGATTTTTAATCCCCAAATGTTTCACACTCGAAAATCCATTGCATGTAAATGGTACATTGAAATCATTCCACATCAGAGATAACGTTGAATATATGATTTATTTTTAAATATATGGAAATGACTTCCCACAGACTTCTGGTTCTGGCAACATGGTATACTTCGTTTCCCCAAAATGCCTTGCTACTGAGTTCTAAGTAAAATAGAACAAACATCCTTTCTGAGCTTTCAAGAAAGTAATGGAAATCCCCAAGGGCCAGAAATAAAGGAAGATAGACTACTTTAGCTGCCCACCAATACCCACTGACAAAAGAAAGTTCACCTCTCTTGAGCTGGGTTCGGGGTGGAGGGTAAAGCTGCCCCTAAGAATGTGTAACTGTGGACCTGTACTACACAATAGTTTAAGTCTGGAGTTGCCCTCTACGCCATATACGTCTTCGGGAACACTCATGCTAAGAAATTAACTTAAAAATTGGAACTGGGCTGAAATATCCATGGACACATGGCAAAAGTAAACAAAAGCCTATTCTACGGGGACATGTCCACAACCCATGTCCCACAGTAGTATTCTCATGAAGCTCTGCTGAGGACAAACTTAGAATATGAAATTTAAAATAAATCCACCATGATACAGCAGATACAATGCAGGGCAGGATTAAACTCCAAGAATTTCAGATAGAAACTATAAAATACGTTTAGAATTATTGAAGATACAAAAGAAGGAAGCAAAAATGTTTTGAGAAAAAACAGGCTTGGAAAAGAACCAAATACCACTGGTAGAAATGACAACTATTGTGACAAATTAAAAACTCAATGGACAGTTTAAACACTTGAATAAATATCTGAAGTGAGGATTAGTAAAATGGATGATAAATATCATAAAATTACCCAGAATGCAAGATAAAAAGTTAAAGACATGGGAAATAAGAATGAGAGATTAAGCAACACAGAAGACTTATTAAGGCAAAATACTCTTAAAAGCAACCAGAGAAAAAACAAAAGATAGGTTTCACGGGATGACAAGACAGATAGCCAACTTCTAAGCCAAGCAACTGAAGATAGAAAAGAATGGAATAATATCCTCTAATAACATCAACCTCAAATAACTGCCAACCTAGAGTGTTTTTTTATCCAACTAAACTGTCACTTCAACATTAGGACAAAATAAACATACTTTCACTTAAAAAGACAGAGTTACCTCAAATAGATCCTCACTGTCAGATCTTCCTAAAGATATAATTCAGAAAGAGGAAATTCAATTCAGAAAAAAAAGAATGAGATGCAAGAAGCAACAGTGAATAAAGAAATTTAAAAACACCATGCAAATCTAAAGAATTGATTGCCCAAAACAGGAATTATAACTAACAGGCTTTACAAAAGCAAGATGGTTCTAAAATGCTGAATAGCAGTAACACATGGGCTGGAGTGGCATTCTAAGGCAGTGTATTATTCAAGAGAAAGGTGGCAAAACTGATAAGTTTCAGGCTTGTGAAGTATGCATATGAAAAATATAAGGGTTATCATTAAAGTAGAGAAATCATACATAAAACTTCAAAATCAGCAGAAGGAAAAGGTATATTAAAACTTTATTGGTTCTATCTATAGAAGGTAAAAATGAAGAAATAAAGATACAAACATAAAGCAAAGAGATTAGGAAGCGCCAAATAAGACAGTACTGGAAATATAGTGGTTACCAGATCAGATTTTAAAAATCGATCTATATGCTGTTTACAAGCAACACATTTAAAACTAAAAATACCTAAAGATTGAAAGTAAATGGATACTCAAATAACATACTAAACAAAGAGAAGTCAAAATAAAGCCAGAAAAATCATTATTAGGAATAAAATAAACTACAATTAATGAAAGGAACTATTCCCCAAGAAGATATAAAAATTTTGTACTTGCGTGTGTCTAATATGATAACCTCAATTTACATTCAATCCACAAACATAAAGACTGATTTTAACCCAGCTTTCTCAGAAACTGATAGATCAAACAACACAACACTCAGCCTAGAGATAAAAGACTGAAAACACTAATCACAAGCTTAGTCTAATGGAGGTAAGCAAATATACATTATTCTCAAACATATATGGAACATTTATGAACTGACAATATTATAATGCCACAAAGCAAATTTTAAAAAATATCAAAAAGTCTTGATAATCACAATGCCAATAAACGAGAAATCAATAACATAGATACCTTCCCAAAACACGTACGACTTAAAAATCCACTTCCAAATGATTCATGGGTCAGCGAAAAAATAATTGAAATTTCAAGATACTCTATACTGAACAATTATGGAAATACTATATCACAAATTTGTGGGACGTAGCTACAGTGAGAAATGAGTAGACTTAAATGCTTACATAAGTAAAGAATAATCACTGAAAATCCATGAGCTAAGAATTCAGCTCAACAACAGGAAAAGAAAAATAGATAATCCAAAAGAAAACAAAAGGAAGAACTAAAAGTTAGACCAAAGTGTGATGAGGAAGTAGTTTTCTTCTTAATTCTGTATAGAAAGAGAAGCTATTCTCCCCCCTAATAAAACCTCTGTCATTTGGGTGAGAAGGACCCGGATTTCTGACAAAGTGCTTATTAGAGAACATCTCTCAAGAAACAAACAAATGTCCATTTATTTTAATTCAGCCAACAATGGCGGCCAGGACCCTGGGCTGAGCTAGGTGCTGGTACAGAAAGATAAACAGGCTACCGTCCCTTTACTCGAGTCTTCACAGGCTATCAGGCTTCTGGGGTTGTTTCTCTTTAAGGCAGTCTTGCTTCCCTGCCTTTGTGTGTTGCTCATTTCTGCTCAGAAGGTATCCAGGGGCTACTCAGATAATCTGTCCCATAATTTATGGGGTAACCTATATTGCTGGAGCGTGTTGCTTGGGAATGGGAAAGTAGGAGAAAAAAATGGACTCTGGACTACTTCCCCTAGATCCACATCAAGGGAAATTGTCCGCTTGCTTTATAGAAGTAATCCAACTCTAAGTACAAAGTGGAAGGATCAAAGACAACATGCAAAGGGAAATTCAAACTAGAAGGAACCACTGAAATATGTGCTGACGTGTGCCTATTAGCTAGTCTGCAAAGGCATTCATCACCCAGAGAAGATTAAAATGCCTTTAAAAATATATTTGTGGGCCCAAAATCTGAAGTCAATTTCAAGTTTACTGTAAAGAATCAAAGAAGGCATCGTTTGGGGAAATTATACATACAATAAAATTCCACCGCTGGGCTGTACTGGTCCCCGAGGCCCTGGGTAAACTTCAGATCTCTGGCGAACTTTGCAAAGTCTCTTTATTTTACTATTTTAGTACAGTATTTCCATTTAATCCTTTCTCAAATATATTAACAGTCAAAGAAAACAAATTAATAGGAATAGGCTTTCCATGGGACTCTTAAGCCAGGGAAGGGAAAAATAAAACAGGTGGTTGCTTTTCTTCCTTTCTGGAAGGTCTGAAGGCCAACTATTGATCCAATAATATGGCCTCCAACCAAAGCTCCACTGATTCTGCTGCAGACGCTGGGGGCCACAAGTCATAGCGTTGAGGCAATAGCATATTAAATGGCTCATGGGCTTTTAGTAGACACTCACATGATCAATATTGGTGATGATTTCACTTATGGTGCTTTCCATTCTACGACAGAGCATATCTTCCCAGCGGCTTTTATTTAGCAAGTCCCAGATGCTTCCAGAAATGATGTAATATCCTACGTGGTGCTTTGAGCACTTTGCCAGACTTAGAACACTATGGCTGAGCAATCTAAGAGCAGGTTTTGGAACTTCTAAAGCTTTATGTAATTTCAGACTCTGGATATGAAATGTATTGACTGCTACAGTGATCCAAATTGATGGCCAGCATTTACATTTTAAAGGGAGTTGAGATAATCTCTTGTGACTCAACTAATCTACTGGATAATGGCCTTGGCCTGTTTGACTCAGTAAATGAATCAGTTAAATTTATTTCAAACGTACATCAAGTCTCCACTACATGGTTGACTACACTGTATAAAAGGAAATAAGACATGATACCTGATCTCTAAATAGCTCATAACCTTGTAGGGGGAATGGAACACATAGAACATACATCCAAATGCCCAGTGAAATGTGGCGAGGGCTATGGTAAACACAAAAACTCAATCCTATAAAAGAACAGACATTTATAGACTTATAATCTAAGCACTGCACAAGGTTCCTACAGAGATCGTTCTGACGTGTGAATCCTTTGTATAGCATACCTGATGTATGGTTGTCCAAAATTTGTTTGGCTA